GATCAGTATTCAAAAGTGGAGGAACAATTTTAAAAAATATTTTAGGTTTAAAAAAAATCTGAAACATTACAGTAAAACATAGACTGCTTGAAAACCTTTCTTATTTTATTTCTTTCAAAATAACTTATACAAATCTTAAATATTAGTTAAAATACATTAAATAACAGACAACTGAGGCTTCTGGGTGTGACAGATCAAAGGTAAGTATGTACCTCTTCATAAATTGTCTTGCTAACAAAGTATGTAGGTACAGTAGTCACTCGTTTATCGCGGGGGATCCGTACCCTGAAGACCCTTGATAAGTGAAAAACCGCAAAGTAGGAATAATAGTACAAGTAGTATCCTGATGCATGCTCAGTACAAGTAGTAGGAGTACAAGTAGTACTTTATTTTTATTATTTATATAGATGTATATTAAGGCATTTTAAACCCTTCTCACACTCTTGCAATTTTCTAAACAATGTTTCTAAACTCTAAATGCTCTAAAAGAGTACAGATTGTCATGATTTCAGCTCCCTGCCTCCTCTGCTCTTTGCCATCTGCAAGCGCTCTTGGCCACGCCCACGTCTCCGCTCTGCATGCTGAGCTGCAGCAGGAAGTTTATCCTGCAGCAGTATGGGCTGCACAAAGGTGCAGGAAGAAGCTTTTTCTGTAGTTCTGGGCTGCACAAATGTGCAGCAGGTGCTAAATTATTTTAAATTATTTATTTTAAATAAAAATTCCATGTCAATCGTGCGGCTCATCCATCAGTCAGCCAATTGTGTGTCATGTCCAATCTTATTTTTGAAAAACCGCGATAGAGCGAGTCCGCGATAAACGAACCGCAAAGTAGCGAGGGACTACTGTACTAGATAAAACCTACAGACCTTCACCCACAACTTGACCTCTTCCTCATCAACAGCAAAAATAATTCTGGGTAGTGTTTTCTTTCACAAATCAAGTCTTTTAAATGCCTATAGAGTGTATGTTATAAGCCTGTTGTATGGGAGATGACTCTGTGTCAAATCAAG